AAAGAAACCACACAAACACGTAATACATCTTCATTCCTTTTGTGTTTCCGTTTTAATTTCGTCCTTTGAACAATGTCTCTAGGTAATAATTTTTTTATTTTTTTTTGTTGCTTAGGTGTTTGGACGAGCTCACAGCCCACCTGGTGTTAAGTGGTTACTGAAGCCCATAGACATCCACAACGTAAATGCGCCACCCACCTTTAGATATAAATTCTAAGGTCTCAGTATGGTTATAACGGCTGCCCCGCCCTTCAAGCCGAAACGCATTACTGCTTCACGGCAGAAATAGTATATAATGTTATAATGTAATACAATGTACGTGAAAAATGAAGAAAATGACAATACTACACATCGAAAAAGAAGTTTCACTTCCAGTACACCAAGTTGCACGCGCACCGTTTTTTTTAATACGCTTTTATTACCTTCAGACGTATGTATGTTAATACGTAACGGAATCTTTGAACATGATTTTGACCCCCTTTAAAACGTTGGATTAACTCGAAATTTGGCATACTTATTAAGGACCAATGACAGTTCAATATTAAAATTTTTAAATTCAACTAAAAAATGAAAAATAAATAATAGTTTAAAAAAACAAAAAAAATACACTTTTATAAAAAATCTAACTAAAAAACAGAACATAAATATTAATAAATTTGAATTAAAAATAGTGTAAGCAAAAATGATTTTATTGTAAAGAAAACGTGGGGTGCATGGTATCAGCAGTTATAAATATTTTATGAACAGATATGAGTAGAAGGGTTATTTTGATAATATCCTGAAAAGCTCCCCTCGCTTTTCTATAAAAGCGTATTTTTTTAGTTTTTTTAAACTATTATTTATTTTTATACCGCATCGACTCCATTCGGTCCTTGGTTATTTTCTTTGTTTAAACTGACATTCAAATGGTCTTCACTTTGTGGCATGTTCTTTGTTTGTTTGTTGTATTTAGGCTCCTGTAACCAGCCTACTCTATATTTGTATGAGGTTTCCGGTACGTATATTGAAAAGCTTATGATAAGGATTTGTGATGCGGGTCCATCTGTCGTCCTCCACTACAAAGCGACTCTCGAAGTGGGCGTTGGGAGTTTGATTTGGTGTTTCAACTAGTCTAGTGTACAACTAAGAGGTGGAGTTTTAAAGGCAGTCATCGCCTAAGAGAACCCACATCACACACTGCTAAACGGCTCGATGAGAAGAAATTGCTATAATATATGTCGGAGAAGCCACAATTAACACTATCGTCAGACATTGTAGGGGCGAATAGGGTTATCGAGCTAAGAGAAATATTGAGCACACGAATCACGTTTATTGTCTTTGAACAATTTAGAAATCGTCTCTTGACGTTAGCAAACGAAAACGAATGACAATTCTTAAGACGGAGGCACCGCTCTTCAAGAAGGCTGGTTGGTAAGTGTGATAAGGTCTACACGTTTCCGTGGGCCAGGCTCTGTCGTAGCACGAAGTTAGCAGAGTTCCGACGATACCGCAATCGTGTTGTCATCTCTCGGGAATCGTGCTGCGTTTCGTTTAGCTACTGAACTAATGACCGTCTCCGACATATATTTATTTAGCTTTATCGTTTGATAATAATATTCATCAAAGTCCGATTTGTATAAATAATGCCTGTAGCAACAATGTCCAACTGTGATTATTGGCACACGCTCGTAAAGAATAGGGGACAATCAATTACAAAACTTTATATAACTTCATGGAAAACAATAAGTATTTTAACGAGACATCAAACAGACAAGCTTTTGGATTCCAATAGACAAATAACTTTCGGTTTGTGACGGCGGATACCCGGGCAAATGTTTCGTATTAATTCGAGGCGGATTTCGGGATATTGTCAAAGTTAGTTCAGGTCCAAATTTTAGGCGATGACATTTATAAGTGGTCCAATTATTACAGTTGACTATGAGAAATGTTTTATCGAAAGTTAGTCTACAATTTTGGCGTTAATTACCCGTCTCGAAGTTGGAATGAAATGTTTTTTTAATTAATTGACGTAAGTTGATGGTACTGTGGTAAACATCTACGCAGAGTAGGTACTGACGATATTTGCTTAATAAAGCGATAGAATATTGGGTTTTATGTTTATTAAAAATGACAAAATAGTGCTCATTGACAAATAGCTTAGCGATGTGCTTGTTGGGAGCTATGCGAAGCTACCAGGTATTCACCGTGAACCACATGATGAACGTAATTATAACATTATGCATTAAAAAGAAAACACGCAGATTACAGAGCAAATTGCTTAATAACCGGTTCTAGGGTCCGATCTTGAAATCCTGACTATTTTCGCTGCGAGACCTTTATTACAAGATCAAGACGACAAAATAATGAGCCTTTAATATCAGACACAAGTGTTTATCTAAATTTGAGAGGCTGTATAAGAATGTATTTTTTTACTCTGTTCAATTACTCGTAACGTCAGAATATTATCGTAATGTGTTTTTAATGACACAACGAGAAATGTACTACTGAATCGATTTGCGCAATAATTGGTCCGCAGATCTTAATATTATAACTCTGCAAATATTTTTTAGTTCACAGGACGCGACCACAAAAGGAAGAGTCTATCGAGCGTGACTTTTTGATCGAAAAGCCAAAGCGATAGTCCGAGCAGTGTTCAAAAGTTATCTAAAGATTTAAAACAAAAATGTTGTTAGTACTTACTATGCCAGATTTATCCGTATCTTTAGTGGCCAAAGCTATTAATTAAATATGATGTAATTTTGACTGGACCGAACACATTCGATGGCTCCAAGCTAGGATTATCTTTTCTTCTGTCTTGTGAGTTTCGTTATCACCGTTCTGAGAGACAGCGGCTGTTTGAATGGGATTGAGAGTTTAAGCTTATCCCGTTACGGTAGGTGATGGTATGCATCTTAAAATATGACGTCGGCTTAGATGCCACTAAAATCTATTATAAATAGACAGGGCGGGTGTAACCAGTACATAAATATTGAATTATCACGACACTTACAAACGGCCAATGCCTATTTCTGCCCTGAAGCAGTAATGCGTTTCGGTTTGAAGGGTGGGGTAGCCGTTGTAACTATACTGAGACCTTAGAACTCATATCTCAAGGTGGGTGGCGGCATTTACGTTATAGATGTTTATGGGCTCCGGTAAACACTTAACACCAGGTAGGCTGTGAGCTCATTCACCCATACATGAAATATTTATCCATATATCACAGTATTTGGGAAATTTCTTCAGGCTACCTAACGTAGAACGTTCAGAAAATACAATACGNCCGTTGTAACTATACTGAGACCTTAGAACTCATATCTCAAGGTGGGTGGCGGCATTTACGTTATAGATGTTTATGGGCTCCGGTAAACACTTAACACCAGGTAGGCTGTGAGCTCATTCACCCATACATGAAATATTTATCCATATATCACAGTATTTGGGAAATTTCTTCAGGCTACCTAACGTAGAACGTTCAGAAAATACAATACGAGTGTGTAATCTTCTTAATCTCAATATTTCTATTGTTTTTAATCTCCAAAAGGTGTTCAATATTTCAATCTATGTCTGGTTGTGTCTGTGTCAGTAGCCGCGATACTCCTGAGCGAATGGACTGACTGTAATTCGGTTTTTTTTTTCGAATGCTTTTCATTCAATAGGAATGGTTGTTATCTGGTATAGATAATAAAATAGGGTAAATTAACTAGATGACGCGTTCAATGTATATATAATATGTTCGCATAGAGTAATTTTATGCTGGCGCTGAAATTTGGAAACAAGGTATGGTAATTTTTTAAAGTTATGTACACACGTACTTAGCAAATATTAATGAAAGTCTTTCACGATAAAGAAATAGCTTTGTATAGCTAAAATGAAATTCGTAAAATTGATAAACTATTTTATTTATTATCTGCCGAAAATTTCTAGCTGGTCCTACAACAAGATATTCAATGTTTCGATTTGAAGGGTGGGACAACTGTTCCACAATACAATTTGAGATTGTCCTCGAGTTTGAAGATTGATATTGGATAGTAGAAGGTGGATAGATTCATGTTTGCATTGTATGCCATATCACGTCATGTCATCATACTGTTTGATATAGATATCTGCGGGGTCTCTCTTTGGTAATAAAGTTCCAAAATTAAAATGGAAAGAATTAAAGAATAATTCATTATAAACTGGATTTCATTCGGATTGGATTTTAAAAATTCTGCCATTTTTTCATATTCAAAGCCGCCGGAATCTCGTGTTTTTAATTGGATAAAAATGTTTTTATTTAACTCATTTCGGTACTAAGTTTAATGTGGTGGGTGTTGGATCCAAATATTTGCTTAATTAAGTATTAAAAAAGGTTTTTGAGAATTAACGAGTTAATATGGTAATACTCTACCTATTCGACGAATTTAAAGCAAATTATTTACCAAGCAGAAAGCGGATCAGTGCGACTTTCTAAATAGTCTAAACAAAAAGCGCCAATGTGGTTTCAAAACGTTAATGGTTTTCTCCATTGCTGACCTATTCAATAGGCAGAAAAGTATAAGCGTGGTTATGGAAAAGCACACGGTCCTATCAAATGGTGCAACTTATTAGAAAAATGTTAACAAATTTAGAAGGCGCGTGAGTGCGTCGCTAAAGTAATTTCGATGTTTCCTTTATTTTTTCCATTTGTTTTGATATGAAAGTTTGTTTTGAACGCAACAGAGCGCGTCCTCCGCTCGCACCGATTTATTTTTACCAGCGGAGTTAACCCGGCGCTCTCGCTGATTTACGTCGACTCGTAAACGTTTCACATGATTCAGTATGACACGAAAATAATTTTGATGATCGTCATTCTAACCCGGTTGTGCGGAAAACTCGTCTTCCGCGTCGGGCGCCACACCGCGTCCGACTAACTACTCCGGATCCGGTCGGAACCGAACAGGCCCACTGCCAACTTTTTTCATTTGAAATCATATTAAAGAGACCACTAAGTTTTATGAGCTCAAAAATAGATGAGGTGAACGAACGCGAGCAGCACTGACCTCCTTTCTGCGTGATGTTGAAGGATCGGAGTCGGTAGGAGTCCTCGTCCGGCTCTTCTTCGGGCTGGTGTGCTGTGCGAGGTACGTCGAGGAAGGCGTTGGAGCGACGGGGCTGGGCGTGTTGGGCAGCAGGAGGACGGCGGCGAGCTGAGGCCTGACGACGGACCTGTGGCGGTGTTTCGGTCTCTGCCAGACGCGGTTCGGAGCTGTAACGGGCTCTGGTCTCGCGGTCGAGCTGTTGCTGCTGCTGCTGACGGCGGTGTCGCACGGAGCGACCACCGGTGATGCGCGCGGACTGAGATCGCGCGGCTGGACGGCGACGCGGCGCCGGCGTGGTCTCGGCGGGAGCTGCCAGCGCCTCCATGCTCGCGGAGGCCGGCGCGCATATCGACTGGGAGCGCTTCGTACGTCCGTCCGTGGCCATCGTCGCGACGGTACTGAACGTGTACTCTACGAGTTTGGNACGGCGGTGTCGCACGGAGCGACCACCGGTGATGCGCGCGGACTGAGATCGCGCGGCTGGACGGCGACGCGGCGCCGGCGTGGTCTCGGCGGGAGCTGCCAGCGCCTCCATGCTCGCGGAGGCCGGCGCGCATATCGACTGGGAGCGCTTCGTACGTCCGTCCGTGGCCATCGTCGCGACGGTACTGAACGTGTACTCTACGAGTTTGGGCGCCCCGCCCGCCCCTCACGCTTCTGGGCGGACTTGTTGCATTATGAGAATAGTGCTCTTTTAAATGCCACTAATTGGTGTAGTCTCTAGTGAATAAATGGAGAAAAATAGAAGTCGCACAGAAGTAAGTTGCATAGTACGGGGAGCAACAAACAAAATGGTAAGTTTTTAAAGTTATTTCTCACATAATATAAAGTAAAGATATGACAGTTAAATTTATTATATTGTCTAGTAGTAACTTTAAACTGTAAGCACTAAATAAACTAAATGTTCTCTTTCTTCAGCGTATTTAAGCAATATAATGCAACATAATCTCGACCTGCAAAGACATTTTCGTCCGAATATTATGTGATCACAATTAAGAACTAAAAGGTCTGTGACAGACAGTTCTTATAATGAACCGGTGAAATTGGAGATATGTTATTTGCTACTAATATTTATTTCTGGTGATATTCCTTAAAATTCCGCAGAATATAGTAATGTTTATTTTCACTACAATGTCATTTCTTGGTAAAGAATAGCCCGCCGACAGGTACCACCGGCACGCCAATTGCTTCTGCGAAACAGTTGTCTAAGCAATAAATAAAAAAAAAGTTGTGTATTCCGGTTTGAGGAGAGTGAGCGATTTACCAATACCCAAATACCCAATATGTCAAGATCTGCGTCTTAATCTCTCTGTCTTCTATGAGGGGTCTATAGCATTACCAATGAAAAACGCGCTACATTATTTTTGACATATAATCTAACGTAGAAATAATCGTAATTTTAATTTGAAATTAATGAGCTTAAACAGACATTTTTAGTAATAATCCGTTCTCCTACAACATTCGACATCGAATGGACTTTTCGATTTTCGCTAAAATTGCTTTCATGCGATAAGCGATTCGAGAATTTTTATTTTTCGGTGTTAACACTGGCACTCGATGACTCACCACGACAGTTACATTGTCGATAATTATTTCTAGAAACCTTGAGAACGCTTTGTTTGAAACTATAAAGACAGTTAGGTTTGCCTGCTTCATTCAGGCTTGGATCCTTAAAGGATTACGAATAAACAGCCTTCCTTTAAACGACCTTCAGAATCTTGAAAGAAATGTTATGTAATTCTCCCTTTTATCCCACATTATGTGGGACTAGCAACATGTCCTCTTTTTCCATTCCATTTTCCATTTCCTAGCCTTTTGTTTTTGCACTCGAACCCTTCTCTAGGATTTCCACTTCCAAAACCGCGTTCTTTCATACTCAGGATTGTGGCGGGTACCCATCATACAACGCAAGATATTTGACAGATACCTGAATCTCGCTTACGACATTTTCAAGATAAAGCGCATATATACAAGTTCCGAACAAGAACATTCGGACCGTCGGTCTACCGAGCGATATCACCCTCTCGGTGGAAGATCTTCCTTTCGTCGTAAACACCTACAGGGTCTTTTTGGCCACAAGCTCATCCAATCTCGCATACAAGTCCATAAAAAAATACTCCTTTCTTTTCTCTGACACTGGTGCAACTTTCACACTTCCCCTTTTTAAACTCATTAGAAAGAAATTCGGTCTGTACTAATACAATTAAGAACAACATTCATTTATCGCGCATTCAGTCAACAACACATTTAATTTCACGTTTGATCAAAAATCACATCGAATCTAGGAAAATAAACTAATAAAATCATGTCTTATCATTCTCCTCTCCTTCTCTCAGTCACCTGGGGTCAGCGCAACATGTTTTCTCCTTCCATATTCCTTTATCATATACCATTTCATCGCTCACTCCCCTCTTACACATATCGTCTTTCACGCAATCCATCCACTTCTTCTTAGGTCTACCTCTTCCTCTATATCCTTCTACATTCATAGTTAACACTCTTTTACCGATATCACTTTCATTTTGTTTCATCACATGTCCATACCATCCCAAAGACGCACTTCTTAACTTCTCTGTCACAGGTGCCACTTTCAGACCTCCTCTAACATATTCATTCCGTATTCTATCCATACTCGTTACTCCATACATCCACCGCAACATTCGCATCTCTGCTGCATGCAATCGCCTTTCATCCACCATTTTAATGGTCCAACAAGCTCATTCATACAAGATAAAATCATGTCTATTGAACAAAAAAAAGATATATTCCAATAGATTTATGTAGATTCATTGCGAAAGTTACATCCAGCACAAAGGTCTGGTTAGCATTTGATGTTGCCGAATTAATTTATAATTGTTTTTATTGGTTTATTTGACGGACAGTATCTGTTTCACGCCACAGAGGAGATTACGTTGTTAGACATTTTTACTGTTCGCCTTGATGTTTGCATTGGGATATTAAAAAATTATAAAGAAGAGTTCGTTTAATATTGCTCATAGAACGCATACGTATTCAACAAATGTTCACGATTGACTTCCACGGTGAAGGAATAACATCGTGTAATAAAAATCAAAGCCGCAAAATTATAATTTGCGTGATTACTGGTGGTAGGCTCTCTTGTGAGTCCGCACGGGTAGGTACCACTGACCTGCCTATTTCTGCCGTGAAGCAGTAATGCGGTTTGAAAGGTGGGGCAGCCGTTGTAACCATACTTGAGACTTTAGAACTCATATCTCAAGGTAGGTGGCGCATTTACGTCGTAGAAGTCTATAGACTCCCCTCCTTACATCTACCCCCCTTACAGTAACCACTTAACATCGGGTGGGCTGTGAGCTCGTCTACCCATATAAGTATGCAATAAAAAATAAAAACGCTCCGGAGCTAGGAGGGAATAGAAATTTGCTTATTGTAATATCGAAAATTAGAGTTTTGTTTGCTATTGCCTTTATAAGCAAGCATGTGACCCGCTTGTCGGATAGTGGTTGTTGCATTGCAAAAGGTTCCAGTGATTTTGTTTGACTGAAGAATTTTAATAGACCTCTGTGTACGTGTTTTTAATTTAAAGCAAATAAAAAAGGTTTGATTGGCTGACGAGCTCACGGCTCACTTGGTGTTAAGCGGTAACCGGTGTTAATAGACATCGCGAATTAACCACAAATGTAATTAATAATTATGAGGCACAATTCCCAATTTCCACACAATTCTTCTCAGAGCCTCTTCACATTCTTTCTCTTTATATTCCTTCTCTTTATATCCATTCTTCATTCTCTTTATATTCCTTCTCTTTATATCCATTCTTTATTTTCTTTATATTCCTTCTCTTTATATCCATTCTTCATTCTCTTTATATTCCTTCTCTCTATATCCATTCTTCATTCTCTTTATATTCCTTCTCTTTATATCCATTCTTTATTCTCTTTATATTCCTTCTCTTTATATCCATTCTTCATTCTCTTTATATCCATTCTTTATTCTCTTTATATTCAAATTAAAATTTACAACGAGCTCTTTCTTCATTAAGTTTAAGGGAAAATCCGTTTATGTCTCATCCCTTCAATTTGCATTCGTGACAGAAATCAATCCACGTTACTGAACGTGCAAAAGTGGCAAAAACAATAGAAGACATTTAATAAATTTGGAAATTTAAATCACTCCATAGATAACACAACTAACTACAACTACAAAAAAAATATCGTTTTTTGTCCTAACGTTTATAATACTAGGTTTTTCCGATTTATTATTCACAAAAACGAAAATAAAATAAAAATTATAAATGTGGTGTCGTGGGACACCAGGTAGGAACGAAGTTCCTTCGGCAAATGTAGAATCGACACAATTTGCAAAAAAAAATCGTGCTCAATTTTATGTAGGTTTTCTTGATTTTTCTCTTAAATTTTGCTGATTAGTTTTTATTTAAGTATAGGAAAGTATTTAGGAAATTCAGTATTTTAAGAAATAATAAATTACGTAAAATAGAAAGAGAATGGATGAGAGAACGAAAAGAAAGAGGGAGAAAGAGAAAGGTATTATACACTACTCGCTTGTGTATGCGACTGTCGCGCCTGCGCACGTCTCATTTAACGGTTTTATTCCACGCACTTTTTTCCACGGATTTTTTCTTACGGTTTTACTATCACATTTTTTTCAGTTCGGTCGCGCANAGAAAGAGAAAGGTATTATACACTACTCGCTTGTGTATGCGACTGTCGCGCCTGCGCACGTCTCATTTAACGGTTTTATTCCACGCACTTTTTTCCACGGATTTTTTCTTACGGTTTTACTATCACATTTTTTTCAGTTCGGTCGCGCAGCAAAATCCCTATCCCCTCCAAGCCTGCCGTAAGGAACTTCGTTCCAATAGTCTTATTTTATGCGTCACGGTCCCAATTCTACACCATGTTTTTTTTTTGGGGTGCAAGAATCTAATTTGTTAATTAACGTAATTAGTCAAAAAAGGCGCATTGTGATCCTGCTGGATTAGGCACTAACCTCCTGTCTACTTCTGGCGCGAAGCATTCGTCAGTTCCGATTTCCATGGCAAATAGTCTATAGACGTACAATAAAATTTGGTTAAGCTCGGTTCAATCGAGTTGTATTATCTACGTTTCCATGTTCAACACTCATCTCACACATCATCACCACTCACACTTCATCACTTAACATAAAGCCTGCCGTAAGGAACTTCGTTCCAATACCATTTTTTGGTATGAAGTTTGCTTTTGTGATAGTTATAGTAATAATACAACTCATTTTTCAATTTTTTTTTATAAATTTTAATTAATTTTAATACTTTCAAAAAAACCGCGCTATGAGAGTGGGGTGAGACACAGTGCCACTAGATGGCACTCGAGTCATAAACAACGATCAGGTGTTTTGTGCAAG